CTGTGTGAATGTGGAGAAGAGCAATCCATTTCATATATGCTACAGTCCATATGATATCCTTCAACATGCATGAAGGAAGACCTTGTGTCTGTGAAATAAAACGCTGTCCACCTGGGCCGATACTGGAAAATGTTATTTAGTTTTAATCCTATTTATTTTACATACTTTTTTACACACTCTATATTTCTATGACCTATTTTATACCTATGTTAGTTGCTCCGTGTTGAATGTTATATGTCTATAATTTGAAAGTGCTTCCGAAACAAAGAAAGAAAGAATTTGAAGGATGATTCATAGACTGGTGGAAAGCTGCATTCTCACAGTTGACTAAAAGCACATTCAATGGGATTCAGTTTCAAGCTTCCATTGGGCACGTGGGAAAATGCTGTGCAATTTGATGGGGAAATTATGCATCTTGGAAAGGGACAGCCAGTTGTCCTTATATAGCCAGTTACAAAGCCAAGTTGTGACTTTTTGCAGGACAAAAAAAAAAAAATGCAGGAAAGATTTCATCAATTCAAAAGTGTTAACAATAACAACGGCCCAAGTATTAACCTATCGGAAGTCAGCTAGATGTGAAAAAGCATTTTCAGTCCCTGTCCTCTGCAGCAAAATATCATACAGTATTCATAAGCCCACAATTGTTTTTTGTGGCAAACTGATTTGTGTGATGTTTGTTCCATTCAAGGAGGGGAGAAAATAGGAAGGCACAAAACACAAATGAGGCTATTATGCGCACAGATGTCCACTCAAGTATGACTTACTCATAGAGGATTTGGGCTATCAAATGTAGAAATTACACTCTAATCATGATTACATGCGCCACAACAATACTAGGATTAAATACAAATTATGGCCGGAGAATAAATGAAGGGGTTACCATGGGTGCTATCAATAGGAAAGAACCACATGTAATTACTGCAAGCACTGGATCTGGTAAGCAAGAATTGCATCTTAATAAACAGAATGGTCGAGAGTGAATCATAAAGCTAATGTTGAAAATCTCTTTCATGCTTTCATCCAGCATGAATGATTGCTGGCTTTAAGAATTTTCACTCACTGGGTAGGCTTTTTCATTAAGCAAAGGTAATTGTGTAACTCTCTTGTCCCTTCCTTGACTGAGAAAGCTGGGAAAATATGACAATGAATTGCTGGCGCACTGCTTCATTAAACCTGAAGAATATTTAACTCTGAATACAGTCAGATTTTGAAACCTCAGCCTAATTGCAGCGCCCAAATACAGAGAGCAGAACGCATCTCAGACAGAATGGTATTCATCATGAACAACAACACACAGTGATTTTTGTGCACCTGGGAAGCACAGCCCGCCAGAAGGAAACACTCAAATCGAAAAGTACATAATGAAAACTATGTGTGAAAGGGAGATAGGGATCAGAATGTGCTTTTTAAGATGTAAACAGCAGGTTTTAATTTGGCTGTGCATGTAATAGAGCCCAACCTCAATATTATAAGCAAATTATTTTTGTATATTTCTGTTCTTGAAATGAAAACAAGCACCTTTTCAAACAGTTGTACAAATGGAGGCCCTAAGGACTGGCTGTATAAAGCACAAGCCTGCTTGTCAGTCAGGCAAATAGAACAGAAATTACCTGGGATTCTATTATTCTATCATTCCATTCATAAAACACATGAAGAACAGTTGCAGGAATTGGGTCTGTCTAGCCCAGTGGTTCTTAACCTGGGTGATATTGCCCCCCAGGGGGCGATTTCATTTTTCAGGGGGGCAATGGAATGAAAAGGGGCGTCGGGGGCGAAGGAACGAAAGAGGGGCGATATGGGGGTGATGGAGCGAGAGGTTTTGGGGATTCTTTTGAGACTTTTTCGTATAGTGAATCGCTGTATATCTGTCGTACAAAAACATCAGATCGCTCGCTATTAGTGGATTGAATTGTGTTTTCAAATCTTCCTCTAGCTAGCTTCAGTACAGAACACTGTACATATGTGAATATGCATCGCTTATCTTCATGCGTATTGCGGTTTGTTCTTATGCCCCCTTTATATTTCTTTTTGCGTCTTAAACTTCACTTGTAATTCAATCATTAAATGTTACTGTTTTTTCTTTTCGGGCATTTCACTTTCTTGCAATTGAATTTTGTTTTCAGTGGTCATTACATTTGAATAAATAAGATAATAATGAAATACATGTATCAAGTTTGGGAATAAAGTGATGGGTGGCACCAAAATTTTTCACACAGTTGAGATATGGGAAAAAGACTGGAAATAAATTATTTGCACCAATAGGTCCAGATGACAATTTTAAAGAAAACAAAAAAAGTGTTTGCATAAATTGAAGAATTATTTCTTATGTTGTGATTGAGAGGGGGGCAATGACAACTTCCTCATTGGCTCAAGGGGGCGATTCATTCAAAAAAGTTAAGAACCACTGGTCTAGTCTAGAGAAAATAAGGACTAGAGGTGACATGATAGCAGTGTTCCAATATTTGGGGGGGGCAGCAGAGAAGGAGGGGGTCAACTTATTTTCCAAAACACCAGAAGGTGAGACAAGAAACAATGGATGGAAACTCATCAAGGAGAGAAGCAACCTGGAATTAAGGAGAAACTTCCTAACAGTGAGAACAATTAACCAGTGGAACTGCATGCCTTCAGAATTGCCTTCACTGGAGTATTTTAGGAAGAGAATGGAATGCATAGGATCTCCTGCTTATACAAGGGGTTGGACTAGAAGACCTCCAAGGTCCCTTCCAACTCTGTTATTCTATAATTTTAACACAAAGAAAGTGGAACAAATTCATTTCATTAACCAAACTAGAAGGGAGTGGGATTTGTTCTCTGATTATTTACGAGTGACTTGTCCTATTAGTATAGCACTGATGATGTTACCTGGTTTGGTCATGAAATGTCTGCAAGAAAGCAGTCAAGCTCAGAGGGCACCATGGACCCCACAATTTAAAACAGCAATGGAAAACAAATGACCCACGATAATATTTGGGAGCAATGTTTATGTTTGTGAATATTTGAATATATTACAAATATTTTCATATTTTAATTGGTCAAACAGTGAAAGCAATAAGCAAAAAGAAAGAGGAAAATATATTGTCCCTTTAAATAATCTTCCAAAGAAGCAGTTGTATTAACTATCCTGGGAGCCACATCCTTAACAAACCATTTGGTGTTACACCGCACCCCCCCCCCCAAAAAAAAAACTCTTTGTGGCCCACAGTTCATTTTGTTAGCTGCCACAGATTTCTGTGTCAAAATTATATGTTGAACTTATATGGAGGATGATAAATTGCATAATCACAACCTCTGCATAAGCAATTGGGTTTCCTGAAATTGCTGCTTCATGCTGAAATTTGGTGACATTTTTTTTTCTATTGTAATTGATAATAATAAGACCAGTATGTGAAATAGTAAACTGATGCAATATATCTAAATTGAAAAACAAACAAAAGATACCTCCTTTAGTCTCAAACAATGTAGAAATGCTAACTCTGTACGATGTCACACATCTCCTATTTCATCATGCTTATCCAGAGTATGGAACCAGGTCTGCAATGCCATCATAGCCAGCTTGTGAAATTGTCAGTGCAGTGATTTACTTAGGAACAATATTACTGAAGCTCACACATGCCCAAGGATGACATTCAAACTTTTTTGGGAAAAAAAGCTTTGCATTAGGGAATGGTGTGATAAAAGAAAGCTAAGATTGTTACTATTTATATTTTAACAATGCAAGGAGACAACTCAAGGCCACGTGATAGAAACAAGCTAAAACGTGTCTTGAATCTTCAAGCAAACTGGCTTTAAATTTACAAAAAAAAAAAAAAAAATACAAAAAAACTGCTAATGGTTTCCTTAAGGAATGATTCACAGAGACCATCTTATGTTTTCCATATAATCCTTCTCATCAAAGTAAAAAAATAAAAATTGAAAAGTCTTAATTTTCAATCAACAACCAACAGACAATACAACCAAAGGCTAGCCATGATGACTGGGGATTAAGAAGTTTGAAGTCCAGCACATTTGGAAACAACCAAATGAAAACAATAACTTGCATGAAAGAAACACCGGCTTCCATATTGTGTATCATCTGAGTCTTGGCAGTACATTCATAAGTAAAACTCAGAAGAGGAAACAAGTCTTTTCCATCAATCCTGAAACCACACATGAGCACCAAAGAGCGAGTCCTGTTCTATCCCAGCCTCCGCGAATACTGCTCAACTGCTTACTTGTGAGGAAAAATCCCTTTGAACAAGGCAGGACTTGGTAACATAAACCCCTTTTATTTTGACACAGCTTTTATGGAACAAAACTCCAACCTTTAGCTGTTGAAATGACCAAGATCAGTCTCTGAGTTCTCAGCTGGAATGCTCAAGGTTTAAGTCACTCAAACACACAGAAAGCCGACAAACCTGGTTAAACGTCCAAGAATCCTGAGGCAAGAAATCCAAGGACAGAAGCATGAAGCTGTAGCATGGACGGTTATCCTTGGCAACCAGCCTGTTCCCACACCTCTCCTTTATAGTCCAGCCAGGGCATGGCTTCTTAGAGTCTTCTACTTCTCCTGGAGAGTCACCCCCACCACCCTCCGCTGTCCTGCATGCCTTTCCTCCCTCCGCATCTGTGCATCTGGAACAGGCCCCAGCTGTTCCTCCTCTTCAAACAGTTCAGGCCCCCAACCCAGCTGTCTCTCTGCCTGAGCGTGAGTAGATGGGCCCGGTGTCGCATCTAGCTCTGAGTCTTTGTGTTCCTCAGAGCCTTCCACAGACTCCGATATGACCCCAGGCAACCTTTCCCCTTCATCCGATTCGTCTGACTCGGCTGGCAGGCGAGGACTCACAACAAGTCCAAACAAATCTATCCACAACATTAACAACGGTGTGTTCATTTCTTTCTATCCTTTTCTCTGCTGGTCTGTTTCTTCTCAATCTTCTTGTCATGGATACTTCCCTGACCGGTTATGGCCTTTGATCCTTCAAGCCATTTCGGCTGCTAACACAAGAGTGCCCCGGGCATCATACACGTGAGCCTGCCTCCTTCACCAGCTACCGCAAAACCCAGCCAGAACATCTTAACAGTATCGAGGGATGTGTGTGTAGGTGTGTAAAGGTCAGAAAACATCACTCACCAGAGTTGGGGTCCGAATTTCCATCTGCTTCGGTCCTCTTGTCCGGGGAGGCCTGCTCGTAGAATTCGTCCTGCGGCTGAACCAGAGGAAGAGGATGTGAGACCATCATTCCACTACCCACAGGCTCATGATCTCCTAGGCCACTGTCACTGCAGCTTTCCTGCGAACCATCAGGGAGGTGAAACGTAACACGACGCTGAGACTACAAAGAAGAGCACAGGACAAGCTCGATTAGTGCTCTTCTTTTTCTCTTTCACCCCTCCCTCTGTTTCGATAGATTATTATATCTATGGTTGATCACCCCCATCCCTTCCAAATACAAGGGCCACCGGACAAATTTTATGTTTGTTATTTTTTTTTAAGGGATGCTAACCTAAGTTCACATGTCAGGTGGCCAAATATCTTAACCAAGTTATACAACAGCACAAGACTTTTAATTAGACATGCTGTTTTACCATCCTATTTTTTCCCCTTCCCTTTTTCCCTTCAAATGCTGTTGTCAAGCTTTAAGCCCGCACAATATATTGCCACCATTACTGCTTCTTAGCTTGCCAACGCACTAGGAGGAGAATGGAATGCAGACTCCAAACAACAAGAAATCTAACCATGCAAACCAAGGATGTTTCAGCAGGTGTTTGCCAACCCACGAAGACACTTTCCCATAACAATTTTTTGACTCTTGATTGGACAATGTGACATGCACTAATACAGGGGAGGGAGAATTGTACATTTTGATTATAGTGGGTTGTGTGGGAAATAACCAGAGTTGGTTTTGCTTACATTCATGCTAAAATGATGTATTCAATAAAGTTTTCCACAAAGAGATTGGATTGTCTTGCCAGTGCTTACTTAGTTGGCTTCATTAGTCAGACCCTTGACATTAAATCAGCTCTCACTATTTCCCTATTTCCCTTTTTACTGTACTTTTTTTTTTCTGTAAAGGCTCATGAAAAACTGTAATAAAGATATTGCATATATTTGGTCTAGACAAAGATGATCTACATGCAAACATGACTCTGGGCAGGTATTATATTATATTACTGTTTAGGAACTGGTATTCACATTTACTACCAAATTTATAGAATGGCACTTGCTTTTGCACATGGAATTGTTGCTTGAGGAGTCCAAATCTAATCTAAAACCACTTTATTTCCCAAAGATACCCATCAAAGTTCCCATGTCATTCATGGCATGAGGCACCATTCAAGCTGCTTCCAGATTGAAAGGATTAACCAGTGACATAACCTGCTGTGGAGGTGCCCAGGGAGGCTCCTTTCATCTCCTTGAAGATGCTGGAGCAAGTAACAGGAGCTCACCCCAACACAGCAGCAGCACTCAGGCCTTGAATGTGAGCTTTCTAACCTCCAGCCCAGCATTCTAACCACATGTGTCACTAGGCTCCACGCATCAGAGTTAAACACATATTTGCTGCAGGAAGCAACATTTCTTCCAATTTTACACAGCGGCATTGTTGAACAGCATTTTCACACTAATAAGGGACAATGATAGCAGTTGAAATATTGCACTGTGAAGGCTTGACTTATGTCACACCCTAAGTGGGTCGAAGAGGTTAAAAAAAATCTGAGAAAGTGATCCAGAGTATCTAGCCTTTATATTCTTGGCACACCCATTATTGTGTGACACTTATCCAGGAGCAATAACTTAAATCTTTGCTAGTATTTTTTAATCCCAACAAGAGTCCCTACCATCATCGATTAATGGCAGAAATAACCAGACTAAATCATCCTATCATATCTAACATCACATGCTACTTATTATATTATTGTTATACACATATTTTTAGATAAATTAAAAGAAATAGGAACATATGGGTGGACTTTCACTACATGTGTTGGAATCTTTGAATTTTTCAGTCAGAAAGGTGATGATACAGAATAACAGAGTTGGAAGGGACCTTGGAGGTCATCTAGCCCAACCCCCTGCTCAGGCAGGAAACCCTACACCATTTCAGACAAACAATTTTCTAATCACTTCTTAAAAACTTCCACAGCTGAAAGCCAACACTTCCAGGGGAAAAAAAATTGAACTATGTACAATCACATCCAAATATGTCTCATAAGAAAGATCAAGATGCAAAATCATCATGAAATAGTTGATCTTTACTAGATTGAAACAAAAGTATCAAAGACATGCTAACATTGTACTTAGATCCCAAAGTAAGATTACTAGAAGAGTCTATATTTCGAATGGTGTTTCAGAAGCAAGCAATATATTCCTCCCAATGTGCACACAAACTTACTCTTGTGCACAATTAAGAGATGGCAAATTTAATTTGCTTGCAAAAGGGACAAGGAAACAACATTGAAACAGGAATCTTTAGCTTTGTTTTACAAGCTTTAATACCACGGAAAGGGCTAATGTGGATGATACACAGGCATTTGTGTGTTTGTGTGTGTGTATGTGTATGTGTTTATGCGCACACAAATGCTCATATTTTACAACTACTGCACAACTTGGTCCTATTACCTGTGGCATTTAAGATTAGGGAGATACATTTAATCTAGATTTTTCTGTGCAAGCCTAAAAAAAATAGCTATATTAAATACATGGCTGTCTTAATGACTGACTCATTAAAATAGCTGTGTCTTATTTCAGGTTTACTGGGAGATGGGGAAAATGAATGCTCTTTAATGAGTGCTGTACTTGTTTCCCAGCACATCCAACACCTCCAGGGGAAGAAATTGAAAAATATACAACCACTTCCATATATGTTTCATTTTCAATAATATGCAGAAGCTCTCCTTCTGAATTTTGAAATGGAACATGAGAGCTATACATTTTGTTTATTTAATGGCATTTTGCTTCTACCCAACAGTCTTAATTTAACGCTGTGCAGAGTTGACTTCTAGACAATGCCAAGACTACTGTACATACACAGACACTGTACTTAAGTCCAAATAAATCTAATTAGGAAGATAGATGAAGCTGGTCACCCATTTGAACACTGTAGCATTTGGACTTGAAGGGCTTGTTTGTAATTGATGAAGTGAGTCTTCTAACAAGGTTAGAAGGCTTCCTTACAACACTAGTAATTAAAGTGGAGATGTGACCTTGAAAGATAATGATTCCTCCAATCAAGTCTGAAGTGACAATCACCATTAATCACCAGTCATATTACTACATCTGCACCATTGGAGTATTAATACAGACCAACCATCCAGGTTGTGTTCTGAGGACATATTGAGACAAGGCCTGAAACCCAACTCTCATCATTTCTAAGACTATTCATCTTGGCTGACCTTGGAGTTAAGATTCTCTGACTTAACTTAGATGCAGATCACTTGGATATTTTCATATGTGTCTTTAAATTGCAAAATCACCTTGTTTCACTTTTGGGTGTCTGTGTGTGTCATCTTCCATTTTCAGTTCTTCAAGTTTTTTTTTATAAATGAAGGCAAATATATGTGTCTTAAGGATAATATTACAGGATCCAGTCTGGGTCAATCACCAAGACCAGAGGTTTAGTCTTCCAAGCTTTTGGACTTGTGCTCAGGAAACTTCTCTCTACCAGAATGTGTGCTTTGACCTCTATGATGTGGCTTCCTATTGGTTGATTGGTTCTGTAATCTTACAAGATAGGGAAAGGACTGAAGCCTTCTCAGTCAACAGGAGTGCTGTTTTACCATCAACTTATCAAGGACTTAGGAGCCGAGGACTTATCAGTCTAAGGAAACAATAGTCAATAGTCAGCCATCAATATACTAATTAACCAATATGAAGCCACACCCAACTAGGCACTGTCATAGTTCCGACAAATGAAACTCTTCAAAGAACTTTGAGGCATTGTTTACCTTAAAGAATCTTTATTAGAGGAGCATAGCATCGGCACTAACATAATTGAAGCCAAAAACTGGATTTCCCTCTCCTGAGCACATAGTATCAAAGCACAATTCCCTCCTCCAATTAACAGTCATAAATCACATTCTCCAATTAGTTTGAAATGCAGGCTTTCCCTCCAGTCCTCCAGTCACCAATTCTTATCATCTCTTATTCCAATAACCTTGGTTCACATGCTAGGTCCAGTATTGTTATGTCTAGCTGAACTCTCGGGCACATTCCTCCCCCAGCATCATCTAACTCTTGCTCTAACTCTAAAAGTAAAACATAAGAAGAAAAATGGTTGCATCTCCAATTGTTGTCAAAGCAAAAACATCCGATGTTAGCAACGTTGACAGGCAATCACATCAGTATGATGCATAGAGTAACCCAAAAGACACATTTCAGTAGAAAGTAGTTCCCTAAGGATGGGCTTCAGCACAAGTCCAAAAGCTTGGAAGATTAAATCTCTGGTCCTGGTGACCAAGCCAGATTGGATCTTCAAATTTTACCTCAGCTTTTCTCAACTTTCGTTTTTCTTCCAGCAAATAAATAATTAACAGGCAACAACAAACCTGCAATGCCATTTGATTGAAAGCAATGGAATATTTCTACTAGGGTGTGTGCCTATTTTAAAATGAATGGAGGATCTAATCTACTCACCCTTCCCTGAGACTATGCCCCATTGAACCCAGTGGGACTTACTTCCAAAATGACATATATAGAATTTCACGATGAATATTATTTCAACACTCATATACATAAAAATGTGGGACTTATACATTTTCAAAACTACTCTTTTCTTAACATTGTTCAGATAAGAAATCATTATGCATGACTCCCCAGACAATACTGACTTTTATACAAAGCCTGGTTCCTATGACTAGATAACATGAATATTTAGAAGGTCCCTCTTTGTCTTTTTTTTTTCTCCTTGTGTTATGTCATTCTTATTGTAACTGCACATTACAAGTTGCAGAGTATAAGTTACACCTGTATTCTTTGTCACCATATTTGAAATCAGAGCATTTAACAGACTCAAAAAAACCTACTGTCCAGTTTGCACTAATATTTAGAACTAAGATTAAAAAAAATCTTTTGTGCTGTTTCAACAAGCTTTAAGGTAATATAGTGACAAACAAATTAAAAGCTAAGTTCTATTGCTTTTTCTGAATGCGAACGATCAGATGCATTTAACAATTGCAATTACATGAGAGGAAGAAAAAGCCACATGCTTTGGCCGAATTGCATACCACATTCATATATGCACTTATTTCAGAATGTTGAAACATTGAAATGGAAAGAGTACAGAGAAGAGCAGCAAAGATGATTAGGGCCTGGAGATTAAAACATATGAAGAATGGT